GTGAGTCGTCGTCTTATGTGCTTTCACTCCTAAAGTCATTCCTAATGGAGTGGAAAGCTTATATTTTGTTTCCTAATGAAGCACAATGCCCAACATCCTCAGAGCACAAGTTGCCTTGTGCAGCTTGGAGCTGTCGAACATGAACTGGCCTTGTCCCACTTTCTGCCGTTTTTCTGCTCTTAATATTGAGTCTTTGAAAGGCTTGGTCGTCTCAGAGGCCAGTTTTTTTAGCTATTTAGGCCCTAAAACCTCAGCCTCATCATGTGAGGTGATCCTGTGCATTTGCCAGATGAGTTGGAAGACAGACATTCCAGTGATGGCACGCTTTGTAGACAGAAAGGGTGTTTTGACAAGGAGAGAAAACCACAGTGTTATCAGGAAGGCATCTGAATGTCATTGAATCATTTTTATTTAATCAGAAGGACCAAATTAAAAGCTGAGATGTGGGAGATCCAGGTGTGAACCGGAGACTGAATTTCGATGGCTAACATCGCATTTTTCCATTGAAAGACTTCTTTGCAGTTCTTGTCTCCCTACACAAGTTGAGGTGCAAGCAGGGGTCGCAGCTTTTGACAGTGAAACGACAGCCGGGGCCAGACCGCCGTCAGTTTGGCCTTGTTTTTAACATTTAATCAGGTGTTGATGGTCATTAGGAAGTTTGAACGCTAAAAAAAAAAAAAAAAAAAGCCCTAACTTTTCAAAGGCTTGCCTCAGCCTCTAGCAGAACATCATTTCTGGCTCGTCAGGTTGGAGTCACTGGGTGTTAACGTGTCCGTGTAGACCGTTCAGCTACTTCCAGCCTGTCCCGTGTAACGTGTTTGTTTAGGTTGGTGTGAGCTCACAGCCTGTGTGATGCCCGGGTACTCCGTCTCAGCTGGATCTCCATCTACAACCGCTGCTTGTATGAACTGCTAAACCCGCCGCTCTCACCTGCGGTGAACGCTTTTGTCATTTTATTAGAGGATGACTTACTGGCTTAGAGGAACTTCTGAAAAGTGACATTTGGGCCTCGAGGAGCGCAGTTAAATTAAAATGAACGAGTATCCTTTGTGTAAAGGAAAGAAGTTCTCCCAGTCCTCCAGCAGTGCTCGCTCTTTTACCTGGCTCTTTCTGGTGCTCTGGTTCTTTGGGAGGTTTTTAAGTAATTCTGCTTCTTTCATCTTTTTCACCCATTGTTACTCTTGTTCTGGGCATCTTTGGTTGAGGCACGGAAATTCCAAAGCACCAATGCTGTATATACCAGCAGCAAAAGGCCATCGCTATCTTAAAGATGCTCGTATTTATACTTGTGTTTTGCTACTGCGTGACAAATTAACTTTGAATGGGCTGGTACTAGTGCCTGTATCTAAGCTCGGCCTTCTGAAACAGAGCCCTAAAGATCTTCACGTTAAGGTAGAGCTTCTTGCGGCTTTCATTCTGTTCTCCAAGATTGGAATTGCTCATCTTTTTCCAAAAACTTTAACCCGGGAACTTTGTGCAGACTGTAAATGTCAGAGTCCTGAGCTGCCTTGAACGTTAGCGTTTTGGTATCGACTTGTTCCAACTCCTTTTCTGTTCCGCAGTATGCCGCGGAGCCATCGTCCTCCTGAGCTGGTGGTTCAGAGTGCCCTGCGCTCGTGGGACCGTGAAGACTTGACGTTACAGAGCATAGCTCAGCTGAAAGTTCTTTAAGGGCAACTCGCATTGTTTTGCGACACACTCGATGTCTAAATGGAAGTTGCGTGCCATAACGTTTAGAGCCTGGGGGGAAGAGGAGAATGGATTGGCTCTGTAGCGTTATTTGCTCGGTACGTGTATATTGTTAGGGGGTCATTTAGTAAGATATATAGTGTTTGAGGGTGGCTGCCACACCTGGAAGTGCAAATTCTTGGCACGATGATGTCTTGGAGAACATTTATATTAAGGGGTTTTCTGTCCTAGCTCATGGGCAGAGTTGACTTTAACAGATCCTTCTGCCACCCCCGGTCTTGTCCTGCGTACAAAGACTACAAAGCAAAATGTGTTTAACTTACGACTATTTTTTTTCTTTCCCCTCCTCACTTTGTCTTCTGTAAGATGTGCCTCCTGGGGAATAACAGAGGGACCTGCTTATTTGGCTAATACGCACTCTTCTTTCTACACAAGGACCTTCTGAGAGGGAAAGTCTCTTTATGGTCTGGTACTGTACAGCTATTGTTGCTACCATGAGTATTGAGGATTAGAAATGCTTAGTGTTGTAAGACTGATTGTTTTGGGTCAAATTTTCCCCTTGGCTGTCAGGAGGTCCTAAAATTCACAGGAGGTAGGAGCAGAGCCCCTCTCCTGCTGCTGCGCTGCACAGCCCGTCCCCGTAGGGACCCCCAGCTGCTGGTGCGGAATTCCCCACCTACCTTAAATGACGAGCAGAATGGCAAGCAGTGACGATGAGTAGCTCGCCTCTTCCTCCAAACGGATGGGGCACAGCAGTGCTCCCATAACGGCACGGCTTCTGGCTGAGCCGCGGTGTCACAGGGTTATGGGGGGAACGGATCTGCAAGGCTGGGATCGACCGGCCTCGAGGATCTTCCGTCCCCGCGTGGCTTCAGTGATTTGCCAGAGATGTTGCACTTGAAAACTCTGCGTCTTTTTCCCTCGCGTCTCTTGACGTGCCTGTGTGACAGAGAATGGTTTGGACTTTTTGCTCCTAAAATTGTGATTAAACAGCTCCATGGGAAGAGACCGTTTCTTGAAATCGGGTCTTTGCCGGCGGCGTGCTTACCTCAGTCTTTCTGCCTGGAGCCGGCTAAAAACTCCAGAACCTGATACAGGAAAACCGAGAAGTTTTTTAAAATGATGAAACGGAGACCTTGACTCTTTACAATAGTTGCTTATTATACTGGTAGTCATTGGGTTTTGTAGAACTGTTCCATGTTCCACCAAAACACAGTGGGAATCCAGAAGTTAATGTTGTCTTCATTTCTAATCGTTAATTCAGGGAGTTTATTGATGACTGAACTAGTGAAGAGGTTGCTCCTCTATTACCTAGGTATTCTGGACTTTTCTCAAGCTCTGTAAGGTGTTGCACGGTGAAATAAAAACTGTCCACGGGAGTTCTTCAATGTTCTGCAGTAGTGAAATTTTTTGGAACTGTTTTTTATCTCTTAGTGAAACGTATGAGACATAGCAGATCGCTTTGGCAGTTTGAAAAGTCTGGTTTTTTATTTGCTAGGACTTAAATTTACTTGCAGAAAATCTGCAGAATGAGTAAGTGATTTGAGAAGCAGGATAATGTAACAAAAAAAAAAAAGTCAGGCACGGTTCTTTTTTTCAAATCACAGTAAACTCTGTCAGACGTTTTTATTGTTGTTGTTAAATGATGTTATTGGGCTTTTAATGGCATTGGTTCTGGGATTATTTTTTTAATGGCAAAATTAGTGAGGAGCACTGTGTGAATAGGATACTATGCCTGCCAGGACCTTTAGTTTTTAACATGTGGTAACTTACAGTGGTATCTGATCCAGCTACAAATAAGACACGCTCATTTAAGCAACGGTCCTAATCGTAGCAGCATCTCCCACCATGATAAGACTCCTGCTTCTGGTCCAAAGATGAGGCTAGACTAGTTGTTAATGTAGTTCATCCTGCAACACAGCCAGCAATAAAGGCAGTCTGCTGTTATTTGAGAGCTGAGAGTAATTTAATATTCTAGCACTCAACTTAGTTTGTCTCCAACTCACCGAAATGTTATATGGAAAGCACTGAGCAGTGCAGATGAATCCCTATTGGGAAGGACATGCATCGCTTGCTGTGCATGCGATCTTTCCAGAAACACTCCAACATGGAGAATGGAGTCCTGCTGGAAGCAGGAGCCATTGCCTGGCTTGGAAGATGTCCTAGATGGGGCCCTATGTTTCATGAGCATGCAGCCAGAGAATTTGCAATGCAACCTACTCAGCAACGGGATTACGCTTCAACAGCACAAGGTGCATTTAAAAAAAAAAAAAAAAAAAAAGTCATCAGAATCCATTCCTGACAGTAATTTAGAAATATAAACAACAGAGCCCCTCAAAATAATGCCATTAATGTTGCAGACCCCACAAATGATGCATTGGAGAAATGCAGGGCACCCAGTTTCACTTAGCAGGTTGACTCTGAAACCTAAAGATTGCAGGTAAAATCAGTATGCTTTTTTAACCATTTTTGCTGCTCACAGTCTCAGAATGCCTCCCATGATTTTTTTTTTTTTTTTTTTTAGCTGACAAAAAAGAATAATCTTAACTTCCCTGTTCAGCCCCTAAATCTCCAGCAACCTCCCAGACAGCCTGCATGGTCCAGTTCAGGGTTCTTTTTGCTGATGTCTGCAAGAAACACTCAATAAATCAAATCCCACCTCCAAGCAGAGATTATGATTCAGTAGCCTTGATTAGAATTATGCATTTTCCTTGTAACACATTAGAAAATTCTCAGTTTGAGGGTGGTCTAAATTTTCAGTTTGGTAAGCAGTGGGCTACTGGGCTCTGCAACTCTGCAGCAAGATGTGGGATTAGATTTTCAGGAAAATGGGAGCTCTGATCATAGCGCATTTTTGCGTTCCTTGCAGTCAGGTGAGAAGTGGCCATGGTTTTCAAGATTCTTCCAGCCTGTAGCTACTTACTCCCCTGTTATCCTGATGTCAAAATGTATTGCGTAGGAAATTACTGTTTAGTTACTTCCTCAGCTGTATTCCAGGAGCAGTATTTCTAAAACCTTCTAAAAATGTCATTTTTTCCTGCTTGCTAGTCAGATCAGCACTTACTAAGATGCCTAGGTGATCGCAGCTTGGCTGGGAAGCTCCCAAAAGGCCAAACCCAAGAGCCCTGTGTCGGCTTCCCATCCTTTCGATCCCGCGGGTTTTGGTTTCGAGGTACCTGCTCTGCATCCAGAGAAGGTTGGTGAGACAAAGCTTGCACTGTGGGAGGCATCCAGTACGCGGTCCTCCTGACTTAAGCAACTCCTTTAAATTTTCCCGAAGCTCTCCAGGGCTCTTTGACCTTTATTTAGTT